TATCAGTATCAGTGCATCCCTAGTGCAAATCCATTTTATTGATTGAAACGACAAGCACTTTTGGGGCCACGCAGGTTCCCCTTCATCAGGCTCAGAAAAGACATTGCATAAAAGTACCACAACCTTTATAAAGACATTCTAGTATATCATTTCTGAGCCTGATGAAGCAGACCCTGCGCAGCCCCAAAAGCGCTTGTCATTTCAATGACAACTATCAATAAAATTGATTTTGCACTAGCATGGAATCTTGGTGCTGGTGACATCTGTATTGGACGATATGTACTATTGCACATAAAAGATGCCCCCAGAGAAGATGTCTCAGGTTACCTGTGGCATATTTTTATGGGGTCATGTTTTATGTGCAATACTAACTTTCCAATTGATATTAAATTTGATTAAAGTTTATAAATACCTGTTAGTAAGTAGAGGTTGAGGTGAGGAGGGTGGTCCCAGACTCGTCTCCCAGACGAAAGCAGTCCACGATGGCTGACGGAGGATGTGACTTCTGCCTCACCGCTCCCTCTCTCCCTGATATCACTTCCTCTCACTACAGCCAAGGAGGAGAACAACAGAGAGAAGGAGGGAGGGAGAATTGAGGGACCTGAGACAGCGTCCGCTCCCCGTCGCAAGGATGAGGTTTGCAAGTCTGCGCCTTTGTATGCTTGGAATAATGTGCCCGAGTGTGAGGTGGCCTCACAAACGGGCACATTATTCCAACCCCGGACTGTCCAGGTGAATCCCGGATGGGTGGCAACCCTATTCACATCCTGTTGTGTCCACAGGAAAGGAAGTGAGGGGAAATCTCTTCAATAGGTCACAGATGGCAAAAAAAAAGAACCTGACAGGGGTTTTATCCACTCCCTATTCTATCCAAAATTAAAGAAAACACTATTATTATTATACAGGATTTATAATATGGCTTTAGATGCCAAATAAGTAGAATTTTTAGCAAGGGAAGTCTCTACATTTTTCCCACTACAGGTTTCCTTTAACCTGTTGATGACTATTGCCTTATGCATTATACACTGATACTGACTGAGGCAATTGTCAACAAGGGAATTTATGTATTGCTATATATATATATATACACACACACACACACAGTATATATATACAGTAGTTTAGGCCTAAAATCATATATATATATATATATATTATCTTGGCACCTGATTACATCAATGAAAGCTGTATGAACCAATCTAGCATACATAGAGCAACATTTTCTCCATCTTCCATAATCTTCTATTATTCAGACCTACTTTAACGTAGGAGGCAGTATTGAGAAGTCTAACTAATGCTTAGCCTTAAAAGTTAAATATGGTAAGAGAGGGGTCCAGCCAGTAAGCTAAGATAAAGGGGATAAGGGCAGGAGGAACCCCTGTGTGTTATAATAAGAAGGGGCCAAGAACCCAATATGTGTTTCTTAGTACTTCTATATCACAATAATAATCCCTCAAGTAAATATGTTGGCTGAACTAGCTTCTTTATTTAAAGTGTATCCAAAGTCTTTCCTTTTTTTGGATAGAGCAACCCTGTTAGCCTTTAATGCTGTATATGCCCTGCTGTAGAGATCCAAATTCCTCTATTTGTCCTAGTAACCATTGCCACTGGAACTGATAGTGAGGGAAAATCCCACATTGTTAGTTGACACTGCAACAGAAATTAAGGTGAAGTCTTCTAATAGAGACACTTGTGGTAACAACTGTCTAAGAGAAAATGTCCTTCACTTTAGAATTGAGATTTTCTTTACTTCCTTTCTAAATTAAGGAACAGGAAGTAAACGGAAATATCCCCAATAGTACACATATGACAACAAAACCTGACAGGGTTTTTAGCCCTTCCCTACACTATCCACAACAAGAAGATTTGGCTTTACATATACTAAAGTCAATGGAACATTTTTGGCACTCAAGAGGAGGAGAAGGCAGTGGCTGTCTGGATATGAAAATGGTCAGGATAGGTGTTCAGGAGAATGTTCAGGGGAAGTTTCCCCTTTAAAGCAGTTGATCTGATCTTAGTAAACTGCATTTGATATGTAACACCAAGCACATGCAGCACTGTGGCCAGGTTTTGAGGAATCCAGGAAGCCTCAAAACCTGGGGAAATCTCTGATAAAGACTTCAGCTAGGAAGTCACAATGTTTCACTTACACTCTTCTTGCGTGTGTGTCTCACTATTGGTCCTTTACTGTGATGGGCAGCCTTGCTGATCAAAAGTATGTCCCCGAAAGTGAAAAGAGGCAGTGCAGACTGCAAGAGTTCTAACTTCCTAGCTAAAAATAGAAAAACACAGGTTTTTTAGGGCACTGGAAAAGATACCTATAGATATGTTCAGGATCCTGAAGGGGTCTACTATAGTATAGCAAAGATAATATAGTAAGATTATGATCAGTACAAATAAACTTCAAACAACTCATGCATTTCAACAAAGAGCAAAATACTGTGCAAATGTTTTTAGTTTTTCATTATTTTTATAGACAGTTTTGGACACTAACATAAGAAATAAATAGCAGGATAGCCAGAAATGAGCTAACAAATTAAAATTCAAAGGTGAGTCCACCCAAAACTAATATTTCAGTGACTGCCAGATGCAGGAGACTGTCTGACACCTGACTGTTTCCTATGTCTCCTAAAGACTTTGGTAGCAATATCTCCCATTTGTGTTTCACGTATTTTATCTTATGAAAAATGCAACAGCAGGGTTGAAAACATTGGTAGTTTGCAACAGAATCAGTAACTATAGTGGAATGAGCTCACCGCTCGTTTTCTCCAAAGTCATGAAAAACCTGCAGGTGACTTAGCCTACCACACTCCAGTTATATATAAAGTTTCTCTTTTGGGTGGGCTGGCACTAATGTTAGTTCTACACTGCATGCATCATAACAGTTTTAGAAAATTTTTACTGATATCATGATTTCAATGCTGCCATCAGCATGAAACCTCTTGTTGCATTCTCCATAATATAATACAATATAACATCAAATTAAAATAAGTATACAGCAGGTATGCAGACCTGGAAAGGTAAATGCAGAAATCTCACTGCTGGAGTCTCCACAAGATAAACAAATCCCTCAAATGATTTATTGCAACTGAATCTGTAATGATTTAAAAGATCAATTTTCGTTGTACTATGCTGGTAAGTGTATCTGACTATTTTCTGCACAAATCAATATGCGACTAGAAATCTGTACCATGCATTATTGTACAGATAAAATTCAGATTCTATGTAGAATTAGTCATTAGCAAATATTTTAGCACATTTAACGGTATCTATCTATCTATCTATCTGTAGTTTATACTGGAAATTAACTTGTATGTAATTGCTTTAGTCATAATTGAAAAAAGCAATTATTATGCACATATTTATTAAAATGAGTCTATATGTGATCAAAGTAAGATATGTATGATTTTACAGCACATTACTCATTTAATATCTCCTATACGCTGAGCACTACTTTAAAATGTCCTTGATAAGCTTAAGACACCAGGTCACCTTACAATGTGTGTAAATTAAGTGCGGCTTGACTGATTAGACAGCTACATTGAATATAACACTACAGAGACTTTATCCTTTGATTAAACACCCACTTCTGTGGGACTACATATCCTTCTCACTAACATTAATGTGACACTAAACTCAGGAGTTAAATCTTAAAAATGCATTCAAGCACCTTAACTATTAACACAAATGTAGTTTATTTGTGTACTGCTTGGCTGCAGAGCCTCAAATCATCTCTGAATTTGTGCTGACATTGGCCTTCCTCCTGGAGGGTGGCTACTTTTTTCCCCATGGTCCCTGTGTGTGTTGTAAAGGAGCCACCACTCCAAGCTCGCTCCCGTGGTGGACTACAATCTCATGTTTAGTTCACTGATTTGTATTAAGATTGTAGTCCATCATGGGGGCCAGCTTGGAACTGTGGCTACTTTGCAACACACAGGTACTATAGGGAACAAAAGTATCCACCCTCCAGAAGGCAGGACAGTGTCAGCACATATTCGGGATCTGAGGATTTGAGCATCTACAGATAAATTATGTACAAATAAGCTACATTTTTGTTAATAGTTAAAGGACTTGAACGTATTTTTAGATTTAATTCCTTGGTTTAGTCTCACGTTAACCATGGCACGACTAGTCAAATACCTAAACAATAGGTTATTTGCCCTGAAAACCCAGGCAGTTTTTTAGAAGTTCTCGTAATCCTCAAGCACATGCGGATTACTGTCTTCAGCGTGAAAAACTGGAAGGCATCCTACATTTGAAATAAAAGTCTCTGTTTCATGTTATCCCAAAAATTTATGACACATGCAGATAAAGTGTCTTGGCTGATGTCACCAGAGATTTGATAACAATCCTTGCCTCTATATCTGTATGTTGAAGTCATAACCCAACCATAAAGTCTCTGCTATGCCACCTGATCACCCTTCTCATACATTCCACAGCATGATGACACCTTCTGCTGAAAATGTCACCAGCCTATAAGGCATTAACCCTCCCAAAGTTATTACAAGGGACCAGCTGCTCCCTAAGCCACAAATGCAGAGCTCCCTTCTCCCATCCCTCTGTCCCCTCCCTTGTAAGGATCACCTTGCAGCTCTCCAACTAACAAATGGCTAGGCTGATACTGAAAAACAATCTGTCACTCTTGCTGAGCCCACTCCTTCCAAAAAAAGCATCAGTGGAACATCCTGAGCCAGGCTAAGGACAGGGGTTAGAGCTGCATGTGCGCAATGGGGGATGTGTAATAGGCACCTGTTCAGCCTCCAGCTGATACAACTGTTTCAAGCACACAGAACAGTCCATCTGAAATATCCTCACTGCTGTGTTAGAATATAAAAAATGTTGTTCCTGTTTGCAATTCCATTTCAATGCTTAAAATTAACTTTCTTGCTTAGAAAGGCTCAGTTGTAGCCTGAGCAGCGGAAGTGATTTTTTTTGCTATTCAGCGCATATAGTATATATTTAAAAACAGATTTATAGAATGACAGGACATCTCATTTTACCTTTCTCTGCTGCTTTTCCCATGCAGGGTCTAAGAGTAGGTCCCTATCCCAGTCATCTTCCTGTATCATGTACTCTTCTTCATTGTAAGAGTTGGTATACTGCAGATGCTGATCAATGGTAGTCATCTTTGCTTTCTCCCGTTAACTTTACTCACTTTTATGTCACTCTGCAAGTTTTCTGTTTTTTTTGTTAAAGGCTCCTGCAGCCCCTGGCCAGCAGGTAACAGCTTCTTAAACCTTAATTGCAGTGGTATGTAGTATGGAGATCTAGCCAAGAATCCCCTCTTCAAGCTTCTTGCTTCCTCCTTCCAGCCTGCTGTCCCTGGTCAAAAATGATACACGTGACCTAGTCTCCATAAGTACCATCAGCTGGGCACCATGTGGTCAGTTAACCACCCATAAATGGTGAGTGGGTGGTCTAACAAAGCTCCTCCTAGCCAGTTTGCCCTATGAGTTCAGACTTCATAAGAGTTTCAACAAAAGTCTTTTAATAGCCTTATTACACTTTTATGCACCCTGTCACATTTATAGCCCTAATTTTTTAAAGTCTGTGCAACCTAGTTCACTTCACAGCTGCAAGTTCGTATGATCTTTGATAGCTACTGTATGTGACATCTACCATGATATCACATTTACAGAAATAGATTTCTTTCCCCTGTCTTCCCTACCCACGGCAAACACTTAAACTGCAAGCACTTTCAGTGTCCAAGAATAGTCTAGCAGTAAAACAAATACACCCTCTAAATAGCACATATGTGACTTTGATAATGCATTGAAGACGTGCTGCTTTTCAAACGGGTTAAACTGCCACTGCAATTGTAATGTATTAGTAATTTTAAGGATAAATAACAACAAATTAAGAACAAAGCAAAGGGGGTCCAAAATGAGACATTTAAACAACACAAAATATGGAGATGTTTGTTCAGAATGATGCATTTGTCGTAATACAAAACTAAAAAAAACACTGCAGCAGGAACAATTATAATGCTGTGATTAATATTGAGAGAAAATGTAATGGTTGCAATTCAACCAAGCACAGAAATGTGGTGTTAAAATAGACACAAGGGCTATAGTCTGAGAGCAATGCATATACTTTCAGGAAATACCAACAATCTTGGATAATTACAGAGGTCAGGGAGTCCCATATCTCCATTCCTGCCCATTTGCAAAAAAACAGGAGTGACCAATATTTTTAAGTGTATCTAAAGCCAAAATGTTTCATGTTTATTTATTTATTTTGATATGGCGGGAAAGGGTTAGATCCTCTGCCATTCTATGTCATTGCTGGAGGTATTTACTATGCAGCGATCCCAACCTGAAAAAAAGTAATTTCAGGGAGGTGCCCTTCTCATTTCAGGGAAGTACTCTGACCAACCCCGCCCCCCCCTCCCCTTTCAGGGGCGAGGGGGGGGGGTGTTGGGGAGAGAGCACCCCCCTGAAATGATGGCAGATAGCAAAGAAGCTATTGCTTCCCGGGCTATCTGCTGGATTGTTTGTTTTTTGTATTCTGACAGCTGCTGCCATCAGAATAAAAAAAACAGCATAGGAATGCATAGCTAGATTGCTATTGGCTATTTCAATTTTCAATAGCCAATAGCAAGCTGGCTATTGCACCCGCCCTCTGCTGTTGTCAATCAGCAGAGGAGGACCTGATGGAGAACTTCAGGTCCACCTCTGCTGATTGACAAAAAAATTTTTCTCTCTCTCTGACTGACGGTGGCCCTGATGTCAGAAGATAATTTTTTTTTTAAACAGATAGCAGGGAGAGGTTTACTCTGCAGATTAAACCTTTCCGGAAGAAAATGTTTCTCTCCCGGGTGGCCGGTAGTCGCTATCTAATAGTGGGAGACTCCCGCAACGTCCGGGAGAGTTGGGATGTCTGACTATGTCTGTTTGTCCTAGTAACCATTCTCACCAGAAGGTGATGGGAAATCTTTCAATTGAAACACCAGTAAAAGATGGAAAGATTTTCCCTCGTTTCCTGTTGTGTCCAGGGCATAAAAAATAAATAGTGAACTGTCTATACCATTATTATTGTTGAGGCTATTTAGTGGTTGGTTGTTGTCACTGCAGTTTAATTCCTCTCATGAAGGAAACAGGAAGTGTCTTGTATTTCTTAATAAAGTTTACAGTTTGTTAATACAGTTTCACCCTCAGCAGCACACCTCAGCTTCCAGAAGTGTACCAGTGAAGCTCTCCTGTTTTTCCCTTTGATACACATATGCTTGTAAGTCAGTATATTAAACCTTATTGTATATTTACATTACACCACTGTATGCTTGCTATGAGATTAAAGGTGGGCTCTCTCCAAAGAAATGTACACTATATTGCCAAAAGTATTAAGACACCCCTCCAAATCATTGGATTTAGGTGTTCAAATCACCTCCATGGCCACAGGTATATAAAATCAAGCACCTATGCATGCAGACTACTTCTACAAATATTTGTGAAAAAATGGGTTGCCCCCAAGGAGCTCAGTGAATTCAAGCGTGGTACCGTGATAGATTGCCACGTGGGGAATAAGTTCATCCATGAAATGTCCTTGCTAATAAATATTCTGCGGTCAACTGCTAGTGGTATTATAACAAAGTGAAAGCAACTGGAAACAACAGCAACTCAGCCTTAAAAAATGACAGAACGGGGTCAGCGCATGCTGAAGAGCACAGTGCGCAGAATTTGCCAACTGTCTGCAGAATCAATAGTTACAGACCTCCAAACATCGTGTGGCCTTCAGATTGGCACAACAGTGCGTAGAGAGCTTCATGGAATGAGTTTCCATGGCTGAGCAGCTGCATCCAAGCCTTACATCACAAAATGCAAAGTGTCAGATGCAGTGGCGTAAAGCACGCCACCACTGGACTCTAGAGAAGGAGAACGGTACTTGCCTGACTGCATTGTGCCAAGTGTAAAGTTTGGTGGGGGGGGTTATGGTGTGGGGTTGTTTTTCAGGGGTTGGGTTTGGCCCCTTAGTTCCAGTGGAGGAAACTCTTAAGGCATCAGCACACCAACACACTTTGGACAATTTCATGCTCCCAACTTTGTGGGAACAGCTTCGGGGTGGCCCCGTCCTGGGGGTCTGAGCACCAGTGCACAAAGCAAGGTCCATAAAGACATGGATGAGCGAGTTTGGGGTGGAGGAACTTAAAGGAGAACTATGAGATGAGTGATTTCCACTCACCTCATAGTTCTAGCCAACCTGTGACAATGAGACTGTCACAGGTCGGCTCAGTAGATCGGGAAGTGAGCGAACACATACCAGGTTCGCTCACCTCTCGATCTTGTCACGGCTCCCCCCTCCGATCTGCCAGCGCTGACTGGCGGAACGGACGGGGAGGGGGCGGGTACAGCTGGCTCTGCCTCTAGATAGGCAGAGCCAGCTGTCACTCACGCAGCTGGGTGGATCCCGTCATCTACGTCGGGATCCGCTCCGGCGTCTCAGTATACCGCGAGCTGTAGCTCGCGGTATACTGAGCTTAGGGTAACAGGAGGACGCTAGTTTGTGTCCTCCCGTTACCCTAAGGAGAACTATTGGGAAAAACGCTGACCCCATAGTTCTCCTTTAACTGGCCAGCACAGATTCCTGACCTCAATCCAATAGAACACCTTTGGGATAAATTAGAGCGGAGACTGCGAGCCAGGCCTTCTCGTCCAACATTAGTACCTGACCACACAAATGCGCTTCTGAAAGTATGGTCAAACATTCCCATAGACACGCCCCTAAATCTTCTGAACATCTTCGCAGAAGAGTTGAAGCTGTTATAGCTGCAAAGGGTGGGCCAACTCAATATTGAACCCTACGGACTAAGACTGGGATGCCATTAAAGTTCATGTGCTTGTAAAGGCTGGTGTCCCAATACATTTGGCAATATACTGTATAGGTATTTGACAGTGCCACGTGCAATTACATATCATATTGTAATTCTGGTGTAGTTGATTGTACTGCAGTTTTACAGAACTATCCACAGAAGTAAATTAAGTTTTGGAATAAAAGACAATGCTGCTTCTGTCAGTTTTGTTAGCTAGCTGTCAGCTAAGAGTTAGTGGGACAGCTTAGTAAAAAAAAAATAGGTATAACAGGCAGTGGCGTAACAACCGGGGGGGCGGCTGGTGTGCTGGCCCCAGGCGAAAAGATGAAGGGGGCGCCGTCCGCCGGCCGATAATGGCACTTTTGGCTATATGCCGAAAGTGCCATTTTCGTGCCGTTTTGTCCGCGCAGCCGTGATTTCTTTCCTCCCCGCTGGGCGCTGCTCTTTGTCCCAGCAGGGAAGAGAGAAAGTGACAGCCAGCCGAGCGCTGCGGGAGGAGACTGCCGTGATCGGCCGGTGTCTCTCCTCCCACACCGCTTAGCCGCCTATCAGCCGGGGTGGAGACAGCGCTGTCACAGGAGGCTGGACTTTCCTTTCTACACCGTTCGCTCAGCCTCCTGTGACAGCGTGTGTCTGTGTCAGAGAGGAGAGCAGGCTACATACACTCAGTGATCAGTGATTGCTGAGTGTTTGTAGATAATATAACTGATGATGATGAAGAGCTGCATTTGAAAGCTAAAATATCAGCACAAAAAATTAAAGCAGTACTTCACTTTAATTCATACATCATGAATCCAGATAAGAGTATGGACATCTCGCATCAAACTTTGGAGACCAGGTCTCATGTGCCTGGCTCCACATATTCAGTGTGCTCCAGAAGATCGTCAGTCCATTCTGCAGGATTCAGAGCAAGAGCAAAGGCAGAAGCAGCGATCTCATATGTTGAAAAAGAAGCTGACTTGATGAGGCAGAAAGCAGAGTTAGAGGCTAATATGCATTTGCTGCAGATTCAAAGAGCAGCAGCAGCATCGGCAGAGTGGACCAGGAAGTAGAAAAAAAGAAATTGTAAGTAAAATAAAAATATGTTTGTTTAGCTAATAAATGTAAGATGATTTCACATCAGCATGCAGAGCTGTATGCTGATGTGATTTTTAGTCAAAGGGGGTAAAGGTCCACTTTAAGTGCTCGTTTTGGTCTAGTGAGGAAAATAACAAAGTTATACTCACCTAATCCTCAGAGCCGGCTTGCAGTTAGACCGGTCCCTGGAGCATCTCTCCCCCTCTGCTACAGCGGTCTAAGGTCCGTGTATCACATTCTATATACTGTGTATAGGATGTGAGGACACTGAGGGACATAACATCACTGGAGCAGAGGAGGAAGAGACAGGCTGGAGGGAGCATTGTCACAGCTGGCCGGCTTCGAGGATTGTGTAAGTATAACTTTGTAATTTACCTCTATAGACCAAAATGAGCATTTAAAAGGAGAAGTATTGGAAGAGTAAAATGTTCTCT